TGCTGGGGACTCAAGCTTAACCTGCCATCATTGCTATCTCACACTGACCTCACACATCTGCCTGGCCAGCCACTCTCAAATCCATCACACAGAAACTGCGTATACATGACAGTGACGTTGATCACGATTTAGATAGAGCCAACCCATCGTGCATACCCATCACCAGCCTTATCCCATTCAACCGGCGGGAATTCCATCATCCTCATCCTCATCCCCATAATAATAATAATTATATTTGCCTAAGGACTGTAGTTCCCATCACACGTCTGAGACGCCTATCCTAGGATGACTTTGCTACTGATACCCGCTGACGGACATGAAGATCTATGCTTTCTTTGAGGCCCACCCCTTTGCAGTGTCCACTGCATCTGAAGGTAATGCTGCTACCACTGCACACAAAATCCCAACTTGCCCCTAGTCAGTCGCTTGCAAATCAATCGCATAGAGACTGATGAACAGGTGCCCAGCGCCCCAACACAGTCACCACTCTCGTCTTCACTGTTCCCACTACCCACGCACATTCACCCATCGCATGGGTCGATTAGGCGACCTGCGTCCTCATGAGAACCTGAGATAAAATGCCATCGGCAACACCACACCATCCCATTTGTAGCTACACCACACACAGTCACGTCAACAGCAAATCACATATCGCGTGATGCTAAAACGCATCCAGTTGAGAGGCATGTTTGATTTGTCGTTATTGGTATACGACCCTTCCGCACCATGTGTGATCGTAGCCTGCAACTTTTCCAATAGACGAACAGATATAGTTTATAGCACAAACAACTGAGGATTTACCAGACCAAGCCATCAGCCTAGCGCATACTGCGTGTTTGGTGGCTGATCAATGGACTAGGATTTACGCAGTGTCGGCCGATGCGGCCTGACTCTCATCATCATTAGTGTTGCGAAAATTCCCATTGAAAATTTCAGAAGATAAACTGTCAAACATACTTTTAGTTCTCAAAAAATTCTCGTCAAAACGAAAGTCACTAATCCAACAACCCGCAGCTTATCAGCCTTCTTGGCTTCCAGTTCCCCCTAACGCTAATCAGATTCAGAAGGAGATACGACCACTGGAACAAGAGTTTTATTGTCTTGACGTTTCGGATTCCCTATTTGCTGATCAGATTTTTGACCTGGATCTCCCCTCTACTTCCCCTGACAACCACACAATTTTTTCTACCTACCCACATAGTCTATTTAGCTAATTACCATATGTAAAGGCCTGATGA